TTGGCTGAGTCTGAACGTGAGCTGTTTCACTCCCAAGCTCCCTCTGGTACTACGGCCCGTGAAGATGTGGCGAACCCTACTGCTGCTCCGATAGTTTCTGCTGCTAGTGATGATATGCTGAAGCACCCTCCTCTGTCAGCTACCCCTGTGTCTGGTGCCTGCTCCAACCTTCCGATCCGGCCGCTCTCCCCCACTCGCTCGGGAATTGAGGATCTTCCTGCCTCTCTTGTCCGCGACGTGGTGGGATCCCAGTCCCTGCGGAAGAAGAAATCCTCAGTGCGCAAATTCTTGGCTAAGAGCAGGAATTCGTCAGGCTCGAAGCAATCCATGACTGGGGTTTGCCGTTGTCTCGACAAGGATATGGGGTCTATATCTCATTCGGGCCCTCCTCCGGCTTCTCCGGCTGCTCGATCTCCTGCAATTCGGTCTCCTGCGTCCATGGCTCGCAAAGGCGGGCGAGTGGCGAATCCAGGTGGCTCTATCTTGGAGCGGGCGAAGAAGCGGGCTACAGCGAAGGATCTCCCCACCCCCCAGGTACTCCCCCCGTCCCCTCTTATGTTTCTCCTCCGGTTCGGTTGGTTTTACCTTCTCTTTCGGATGATCTTCTTTTAAATATTATGTCAGACGTGGGAGTGGTGGTAGATACTTCTGTTGGATCTCCTAGTTCTCTTCTTGCAATCATTAGGGCTAAAGAGATGGCTCAGGCGGCCATATCTAAAGCCAAAGAGGCCGTTGCCTCGCAGGCTATTGCGTCTAGTAGTACTCAGGGTGCGGAGGCGGGTGCGGAAGCTGGTAGTGGCCAGCCCCAACCCAACTTATCCAGGAGGGGCACGAAAAAACGAGCTAAATCCTGCGCGGCTCCTAGCAGGTCGAGTCTCCGCATTAAAAATCTATCTTATAAATGAGGGCTTTATTTTGGAATATTAGAGGGTTCGGTGCTAGGGGGCGCCGCGACCAACTCAAAGATCTGGTCCGCTCTAACTCTATTGATTTCGTGGGGTTGGTTGAAACCTTTAAGGAAGCCTTTTCCCCTAGTGACCTTTCTGCTATCGTGGGCATGGACAGATTCAATTGGCACTCGTTACCTGCCTCGGGTCACTCGGGTGGGATCTTGATAGGCTCTAATAAAGATATTTTTGATTTTGTTGCGTTTGATCATGGGATCTTTTGGGCTAGTTCTGTAGTTTGTCATAAAGCCATGAATACCCTCTGTGAGTTTATCGTGGTATATGGGCCTGCGGATCATTCTCTGTCTCCTTTGTTTCTTAATGAGCTTTCTGTGAAGATCGAATCCTGTAATCTCCCGATGGTTATCGGGGGTGACTTTAATCTCCTTCGGTGTCCTTTTGATAAAAGCAACGATATCTTCTCCTGGCTTCTAGCTAATGCCTTTAATGATTTTATCAGCGCCAATGCTATTCGTGAGCTTCCCCGGGGCGGAGCTCGTTTTACCTGGTCCAATCATCAGGCTAACCCTATTAGATCTGTGCTTGATAGAGTCTTCATCTGTCCTAGGTGGGATTCCATGTTTCCTAGGGCCTCCCTCGGCGCCAAATGCATAGTTGGCTTTGACCATACCCCCTTAATCCTCGATGATGGTTCTGTCAGTCTTAGACCTCCAGCTAGATTTCAATTTGACGCCTCTTGGCTGTCTATAGATGGTTTTATCGAGATGGTGGCCTCGAAGATATCCCTCCTTCTCTCCTCCAACGCCCGCTCCTTTGGGCCTCTGGATGACTGGCACTCGTGCTCCTACAACCTTCGTAAATTTCTTAGAGGTTGGTCTCGCAATCGTGCGGCGGAGGATCGACGTACCAAATTTTTCCTTGAGGCACAGATCGCGTCTCTTGATCTCGCGGTCGATGCTGCTGGGCTTTCTGATGATGGATGGGCGGTTCGATATAACCTTGAGGCCGCATTAATGCAGTTGCACCACCAGGCTGAGGTTTATTGGCGCCAGCGGGGCACTCTCAATTGGACTCTAAAAGGTGACTCCCCTACGGCTTATTTCTTTGCGATCGCGAACGGTAGGAGAAGGCGCTGTGGTATCAATAGCCTGATTATTAATGGTGTGCGCTCTTCGAATCAGTCTGCTATTATGGCTCACGTGGTGGACTTCTTTTCTTCGCTGCTGGGGGCTAAGCCTCAATCAGGCTTCTCCATTTCCCCTTCCCTTTGGAACATAGGCCTTAAAATTTCGCCCGAGGAAAATGCCTCTTTGATGATTCCCCTTTCAGATCAGGAAATATGGGATGTAGTTATCTCTTCTAATCCTAATGCTGCCTCTGGGCCAGACGGCTTTTCTATCCCTTTCTTTCGGAAATTCTGGCCTCAGTTGAAACAGCTGGTCTGCAATGTCATCCAGGGTTTCTGTCTTGGTACTATCGATATCTCCCGCCTGAACTACGCAGTGATTTCCCTGATCCCCAAGGTTAAGGGCGCTGAATTAATCTCTCAATTCCGTCCTATTGCTTTGATTAATAACTTTGCCAAATTTCCGGCTAAGGGCTTTGCGAATCGACTGTCACCGGTTGCGCGTAGAGTTATCAGCCCCTTCCAATCTGCTTTCATCAAAGGTCGTTTCATTCTAGATGGTATCTTATCTTTGCACAAGATTGTGCACGACCTTCACTCTCGGAGATCTAAAGCGATTATTCTTAAGTTAGATTTTGAGAAAGCCTATGACTCGGTAAGTTGGTCCTTCCTCAAACAGGTCTTGCTTGCAAAAGGCTTCGACGGAGCTTATGTGCATCGTATCATGCAGTTGGTCTCGGGTGGTCATACTGCTGTTTCTGTGAATGGGTTCATTAGTAATTTCTTCGCCAATGGCAGAGGCCTCCGTCAAGGGGACCCTGCCTCCCCTGTTCTTTTTAATTTTGTGGCCAATGCCTTTTCGTGCATGCTCACTAGGGTGGTCCAATGTGGTCACATCATTCCAGTGGTCTCCCATCTACTCCCGGATGGGGTATCCCATTTGCAATATGCCGATGACACTATTATCTTGGTGGAACTGGACGATACATGTATTGCCAACCTTAAATTCATCTTGCTTTGTTTCGAAGCTGTATCGGGCCTTAAGATTAATTTCTCTAAAAGTGAGGTCTTAGTGATGGGTGTTGATGATGCGGAAGCCTTGCGGGTGGCCAGGCTTCTTAACTGTTCCTTGGGTTCCTTCCCCTTTAAGTATTTAGGCCTTCCAATCTCTCCTGTCTTGCTTCACTCTAAGGACTTTGCTCTGGCGGTCGCTAAGGTGGGAAACAGGGTGCTCCCTTGGAGGGGGAGATATAACACCAACGCTGGCAAAGTTGCTCTAAGTAATTCCTGCTTATCTTCTCTCCCTATGTTCCTTATGGGCTTCTATCTTCTTTCGGCTGGCGTCCATGCTGGCTTTGACAAACATAGGGGAGCCTTTTACTGGAATTCCGTGGACAACAAACGGAAATATAGGCTGGTCAAGTGGCAATGTATGTGTAAGCCTAAAAACCTTGGGGGGTTAGGCATTATTAATACACAGGTGATGAACAAATGTTTGCTTATTAAGTGGTGGTGGAAAATTATGACTAGCGGGGCCAATTCCCTTTGGTTTTGGATTCTCAAGGCGAAATACTTCCCACACTCTAGCCCGCTGTTTGTCACCGCTTGTTGCGGATCTCAATTCTGGAAGACCCTTGTCAAAGTCAGGCCTATTTTCTTGGAACATGTAAAATTGATCGTGGGTAACGGGACTGCGGTCCGCTTCTGGCTGGACTGGTGGTCTGGGGATGCCCCTCTAGCTGTTACTTTTTCGGTTCTGTTTTCGTATTGTCCTAACCTGACATCTTCATCGCGGAGGTGGCGGCAAATAACTGGGATCTGGCTTTTCGTCGTTCCCTGTCTCCTGAAGAGTTGGAAGATTGGCAAAGTCTCTCTGCCCTCTTCCCTGTGCTCTCGGAGTCTTCTGATACTGTGGTTTGGCCTCATTCGGACTCTGACAGGTTTTAGGTTAAGTCGTTGTACTCTAGGTACTCTAGGCCTATCCGTGATACCCCTTCGAGCAGATTTTCTTGTGTCTGGAAATCCAAAGTCCCTCCCAAGATTAAAATTTTCCTTTGGCAAGCTTTTCGTGGCCGCCTCCCGGCGGCTGACCAGATTCACAAGCGCAATGGGCCAGGCTCGGAGTTTTGTCATCTGTGCGGTGCCTTGGAAAACTCGGAACACATTTTTTTCCATTGCGTGCTGGCCAAGTTGGTTTGGAGTTGTGTCAGATTTTGGCTTCAGGTTTCTTGGAACCCTTCCTCATTCTCTGAGCTTAGAAACCTAGCCAAAGTTTTGGTTGGAGTTACCAAGAGGGTGTTCTGGGTCGGCCTGGGTGCCTTATGCTGGGCTCTATGGACTATTAGGAACAAATTTACTATTGAACATATCTTCCCATCTAAGCCTGCTGACACTCTTTTCAAATCATGTATACTATTGCAGCAGTGGAGATCATTGACTAAGGATGAAGATCTGGATGCCCTGGACTTGCTCATCGCCAAAATTCGGGCTTCGGCTTCCCACATCTCTGGGCTGGACCCTGTCGTCTAATCAGGGTATCGCTGTTATCGTAGTTTGGTTCTGTCTTCTCCCTTCCGGCCTGCGCGCCGTGTATAGCAGGTTGCCTGTACCCCTTACTTTCGTTTGCTGGTCCCAAACTTTCTTTTCGGTGAATTCGCAATGTTTCGCCTGCTGGTTTCGTTCATGGTTCATGTTTGGGTCTGTGACGCTGTCGTGTGGCTTTATTTATAAAGTTGGGCTATGGCCTTTTCTCTAAAAAAAATAGAGATGTGTGGTAAATGTAAACAGGAAACAAATCCTCCGGGGTGTGAAGAAGGTGCCCTCAGGGCCTCATCATATTTCGGAATCTGATTCTCTAATTACTTATTCTGAATCTGGGCGCACAGTCTGCTTATTCTCGACGAATGCCGAATTACATACGGAGAGGGGCTGCGCCCGGTGAGTAGAGCCGAATCAATCAGGTCGCGCTAGCCCAGAGGCGAAGCAGCAGCAGAGGTGGTGTTTGTCCGAGCCGCCGCCGCCGCCTTGGCCTTGGCCTTGGGGCAGCGGTTGTGGCCGTACCAGACGCCGTCCGGCAGCGGCGCCCCGAAGTAGAAGGTGGCGGGCTTCTCTCCGGCGCCGGGGCCCGGCTCGGTGACCTGGACCCACTCGGGCGCCCAGCCGTCGCGGCCGGCGCGGCGGAGGTAGAGGTAGCCGACGCCGTAGCCGCACACCCCGGAGACGCGGAAGGTGTCGGTGCCGCACCGCTCGAAGGCCCTCCCGCCCGGCGCGCTCGGGAGGCGCGCGCCGTACGCCTCGTTGCGGTACGCATCCCCGAACGCCACGCTGACCGCGTCCGACGTCCGCGCCGGCGACGCGCAGCTCGTCTTCACCTTCACCGTGTACGTGCACGTCCGCACGGCCGCCTCCTGCGCAGCACAAAACGGCGCCATGGGTCACACACTCACAGGGCAGAGCAGAGCAGTCGTTGGTTGATAGATAGAGTGACACTGCGAGATGTGGACGCACGTGCAAGAAGAAGAAGAAGAAGAACTCACGGTGCGGCTGTGGAGGGAGGAGCCCGCGAAGACGACGACGAGCAGCAGCAGCAGCGACAGGCGAGGCGCGGCCGCTCCGATGCCGGGACCCGCCATTGCCGGCGACGAGGCGAGGACGGGAAGGGACTATGGGACGGGGGACGGCGCGAGGAGTCGATGTGATTGCGCCGCCGCGTAGGAGTTCGGGGGTGCTAATAATAGCGCCCTGGCGTGTCACGGTGTCGAGATGGGGATGAGGATGCGGTGCACGCTAGCACATGGCTGCAGGCCAGTGGACCAGCAACGCATCGTATCGGATCGGCAACGCGCCGAATCGCTCGCTAGCGGACACGAGCGTTGCGTGTCGTCATGCTCGGTGATGATGTGGTCCGCCGCGGCACATGTCGACGGACAGAAGTCAGAAGCATCCAGCGCGGGGCACACGAGCGCAGGGAGTTTGATGGTTTATAATCTCACAATAAAATAAGCTTAGATGCTTCTACGATGGTGCATAGTCTCAGTATGAAACAGAGGCTAGGTAGATGGTTCTCAAAAAAAATTATGGACGTTGAGAAAGGTCTCTATGGCACGTTTCAAATCGGAGAGAAAGAAGTTCAAAAAAAAAAATCGGAGAGAGAGAGAGAGAGAGAGAGTCAGAGAGGAAACAAAAAAGATGCAAAATTTGGGGCATTCCGAGAATTGAACTCGGGACCTCTCGCACCCTAAGCGAGAATCATACCACTAGACCAAATGCCCTTTGTTGAACATATTACACCTACAGATTATTAGAACATAATACGTTATTGAATGCATCCTCCCCTACTCCAAGGGTGTGAATGAATCCTCCGTTATCAATCCTATTGCTTTTCTTGAATTGGTTTTTCATGCTAAGTTGGCAATATTATTATTGTGTTAGTCAAATATAAAGGTGAATCTTCATAAGCGTCCTTATCGAATTGCGACCGGTCATACAAGTTGAGGAGGATATATGATCTCTCGGGAGCTTGAATCATCACGTCAATTCTCTGTCAAATCTATCTATAAAATGTACCAATCTCCTTTGAAAGGCAGGCATGCCTCCCAAAATTAAGGTGTTTCTTTGCGAGGTGCTTCGCGGCCATCTCTCTGACGACAGTCGTCACGGTCCAAGTGATGGTTGTTGCTCCCTTTGCGAGGAGGAGGATGTTAATCATATTTTGTTTTTGTGTGTGCTTGCCAAATTCATGTAGATTTGTGGTTCGGGGGTGTCTTGCCAGATTCATGTGGATTGTGGTTCTGGGGTGTTTAGGGACCTCTTCTGAACCCTATGTCGTGTGTCAAGGTCATTGCCCACATGTAACCATGTTGTAGATCACATCACGTAGTTGCATGGCAGATTTTTTGCCGCTCAATCATGGGTATTTCGGAATGTTTGCAATAAAGTTGCTATTAAAAAGATTATAATTGCTCATCCGCCTGATTGTATTTCTTTTCAATTAACCGCCTCCTTTTAGTTATGGTGTCACTTGGGGAAGGAGAAGGACAAGACTATGCTGCAAGCGGTGCTCCCGGAATTTAGATATATTCAGTATGTTAATCGACCGCTGTGAAGCAACAAAAGTAGGGTGTAGTTGTAGGTTTTGGTTTCCGAGCATGCGTGCTCGTGTATGAACTCCTTTGTATCACTGGTATCCTCAACCGTTTATTTTATGCTACCTTTTGCTGTAAAATTTGAACTTGTGTTCATGTTTGATGCTTTATAATACTCTCTCCGTCTCAAAATTATTGTCTTAGATTTGTTTAAATATGAATGTATACATATCTAGGCGAATCTAAGACAAGAATTTTAGGACGGAGGGAGTATATACTAGCACATATGACCGTACGTTGCAACGGGAGAAAAAATATTGCACTTAACTCAATTACCATATCTCAAGACTTCCACATGTGACATCATATATATTTCAACATGGCGCCACACCCCTGCGGCCTCTTATACTTCTTCCGCCCTCGTCGATGGTTGCCGCATTGTCCGCTTGATCGTAACACGTCTGAAAGTTGTCAAACCTGAGGTGATCAGCTCGGCCACTACACGACACACCTGTCATTGAAGTGCACCAATGCAAGGGGATGTTTAAACTTTAAAAACTATAATCTCATCAAGTTGGCATAAGGGCCGCCCTCCGCAATCTACTCCTCACACCTGGTCCATGGATCGTCCCTCATAAGGATTGACTACAATCAGTAGCGGGAAAACACTACCAAACACTTCCATGTTTTTTTGGGATATATGACACATGCCCCTTCTATGAAGACAATTTGTTTTGTATATACCTAAAGACAATTGTCTTATTTTCTGCTTCCATGTATAAATCTTCGTCGTATACTTCACAGGCCAGTTAGGTATATATGCTTCCGGCGTGTGTGCTAACCTTTGTATACAATTTTAGTCCAGCAATGTGCAATCCTATTTGGACTATGGATGGTGTTCATTTCTTTTCTGGCTTTATGTCGTAGTAGTTATTACCATACTTTCCGTGAGTGTGCTAACATGTGTAAATATGTTAGTCCAAAAATGTCTTACCCAATTTGGACAATGGATGGTGTTCGTTTCCTTTCCGGTTTTTATGTCGGGTAGTAGTTAGTACCAGTCTATGAATGACACAAACAAACACCAAATCCAACTTCAGTTAAAAACGATCAGCACCAAAACCTCTCCAAAGTTTTTTTCTTGAGACTTTCAAGCATGGAATTGAGTTATTCTTGTTCCAGCTTACAATTAAAAAAGATCAACACGTTGCACATTTTTATTTATTGAGCCTTTCAACCTGGCACGTGCATGGTTAGTTTGAATTATTCACATCCTCTTCTCTTTGTCCCTCCTGTTATTTTTTCCTTCATTGACCAGGGCATCACATGCAACGTGAATCAACATGCATATCCGTTGTCCTTAAATTACGGAAACACTAACGCCCACACGTGTGGGCGTTTGCATCTCGCACATACGCGTGGATCCGCATCCGTTTGTGGGTGCACGAATCTTGGCATATTTATGGTGCCACATAGGACTGGGATGGTGTGTGGGCATTCACCCGGTCGCCCACGCGTCCGTTTCACCACACGAAGGGGCCGGTGTGTGGGCGTTTAGCAGTTCGCAGTTTTCACTCACGCACAAAGGTTGATGTGTGGGCATTTGCCATCTTGCCCACACGCCCATCTTCTTTCCCACACCCTAGCTGCTAGCTGCCATGTGTTTTACAGTGTACATGGCAACTGCCCTAGTGTGCTTGTAAGCAGATGGCAACTCTTTTTTTTATCCGAACATGTCAGTTGCCATGTGTTTTGCAGGGTACACGACAACTGCCTAGTGTACACGTAAGCAGATGGCAACTCTCTTTTACCCGAGTTGCCATATGTTTTTGCATGATACATGGAAACTATCCTAGCATGCACGTAAGCAGATGACAATTCTTCCTTTTACATGGCAACTGCCCTAGCGTGCTTGTGAGCACATGGCAACTCTCTCAATTGTCTAGTGTTAGTAGGTGGCAACTCCTAAAGTTTTAAAATCATGACAAATGCAGTAAACTAGACCATACATGGCAACTGCAGATGAGCAACCATGGCTCTGTAGTTGTCCGACATGGCAACTGTAGTTCAGCGACATGACAACTGCAGTTAAATGAACATGAAAGAGGGTCCAGACCATGGCAACTGCGGGGACGCTGGTGACTGTTACGCGGGGTGTGCGAGACCATAAAGTAGGAGGCTTGACGTACGGACGTGTGGGCGTAATCTATTTTGCCCACACGCAGGCATGTGAGAGGGACTGTGAGGAAAAAAAAGACGTGTGGGCATTACTTGTTTTGCCCACACGTAGACATGTGGGCTGGCCCTCTTAAACACCAAACAAACTGTGTAGGCAGACCCCTTAACGCCCACACGTGTGGGCATTATCAGCGTCCTTCAATTATTCACGTCCACATGAGAATCTCTTAATAGCCCGCATAATAGCAGCCCATCATACATATGTAGAAAGTTAATTATCCTATCTTTCCTTCCTTATTTTCCTTCCTTTCCTTAGTCACTCTTTTTTCCTTAGCCTCCCTTCCTTTCATATTTATAGCAGCACATATATAGGAGTTTAATAGCATCCATATATATACGAAAAAACTACTGCCCACAAGTGTGGCATCTTGTACATCGCTCATACGTCTCCACTACCACTCATTTTGTCACGTATAAACAGATGACATTAGCAGGAATCTTTTTGGTTTCGGCTTAAACATTGTTTTATCCCCTAATTAAAAATTCAAATTAAAAATCCATTTTCATCATTAAATTCGTCTCGACGAGATCTTTAAAACTAGACCCCATGTTGATATGTTTCGACGAATTTCCCCCCCAAAAGTTGTCATGATGTTTACACTATAGTTGTCATATTGCTTAAATTAAAGTTGCCATGTGGCAATTTTATTTTGTAGAGCATGGCAATTTTAGTTTTTTTATGATGGCAATTCTAGTACTTTGACCATGAAAATTATTTTTTGTATAAATCATGGTAATTTTAAGTTCATGTATCATGACAATTTTAGTTTATGGTTCATGGCAAGTCTAGTTTTCTTAATTCTTTTTTTATAATATGGCAAAATTTACTTTTAAATGTAGAAGAAAATAGCTGAACATATCATGGCAACTTCAATGTAAACATCATAGCAATTAATGTGCAATAGACATGACAACTTTCAACCCCAAAAAAATCATCGAAATATGTTAATATGAGATCTAGTTTGAAAGATCTCGTCACGAGGGATTTATGGTGAAAACGGATCTTCAATCGGATTTTTCATTTAAGAGATAAAACATTTTAAAAACTGAAAATCAAAAAAGTTTCTCACATGCATGTATGCGGTGACATGACGCAGTCTGTGTGTTATAGGGCGTGTGGGCGAGTTTGACTCACACCACACGTGTGAGCATTAGCGTTGTCCTATATATATATATAGGAGAGGGATTTTCTACCATAGCTTCCACACAAATGACCCGTTTCATCCAAAACGCGGAAACTCTCCTAAATCACTTCACCTATTTTCCCATTCCAGCCCCACACGAATCACGAAGCACAGGCGTGTGGATAC